CTGCCGTACTCTAACGGAACTATCAACTCTATGCTTTCATCTACTCCATCTATCGTATAAAAATTACCACTACAGTCTGTTATTTGAAATTAGCATCTTCAACTAAGTTAAATCCAATTGTCTTGCTCACTTCCATCCTAATGATTTTGCTTACCGTGGATTCAATCCCAAGCTCCTTTGTTAGGACATCAATTCAGCTTAACGTTTTATCAAAACAAACCCTGTTACAAACCCAACCCTCTTACCCAACATCCAAATGATTCCTCGTGGAAGTGCAGAGGATTTCTCCCTTGCTGGTATTGCCTAGTTTGAGATCACGCTTATAGATGTACTTGGGACCAGCAGGCTAGTCAAGTAGTGACCCAATTTAAAATCGTTAGTTTCCACCGGTTGGTATTAGCTTTCGTGGATTTTCCTCTGTTTCGAAGGGGGGAACCAATTAGCTTAGGACCGAAGAGAGTACCAGAACTGAGCCAAAAAGATGAGCACGTTTATTCGGGACCTTCTGGTCTTAGAGTTACCTCTATGGCTTAGTGGTATTGTTTACGTGGATTTAATCGATTTTTTCTTGGGTAGATTTTCTCGATAATTGTTTAGACTGCAGTGAGATGTAAACCACACTTTTGCAGCGTCCGCGAACAACATCCATTCACAGCACATTTCCTCAAGGAATTTCAAATTAAAATTTGGAAATTATAAAAAAATAATTCGAAAATACTTCGTAGTGCTTGTAAACATTAGAAATACTCAGAGATGGGTATGGGCGGAGAGAATGGTTTGAGCCAAATGAACTGAAAAATCTAAGCCAATCGAACATTCCGACAGTGAGCATTCATAAGGGCGTATACGCGATGATCGATTCTCTTAATCGATTTTCTCTTTTCTTAATAACTCGCTAGATTTAACGTTTGTCGGTGCGTTTGTTGTTGCTTTTGAAAGCCAATACAACCTATTACAACTCTACATTGAACAAATTCTACAAAATTGTTTCGCTTAGCTGTAGCAATGCAAAGAGAAAAACGATGAAGAGAATCGATCATCGCGTATACGCCCTTATGCATGCTCACTGTCGATTCCAATTAGATTTTTCTGAGGATTTCTTATTCTTACTAGATTACATTTGAGAGTATTGCAAGCGAACAGAAATTCAATAACCTCTGTGTTTCGTGTGCCTCTCAAATTCAAGTACTTGAATCAAAAACAATATTCTAACTCTATTGATTAATTGATCTTAGTTGGATAATTAATGGCACCAAGAAATGCGCCAAATATTGCGATGCAATCGATTATTATTTTGCACATAAGTCGAATCAAAAATAAAAGTCATGTGAAATGCTATCTTCTAGCAACGGTTGCAAGATAATTTAACTACTAAACCCTGCTGCCGAATTGTATTTTGTTTTCTCCGCCCTCTGAGTATTTCTAGTAAAAATTAGAGTCGGTGTATAATTAGTCACGCCAAGAGAAAAACAGTTGAACTCGCATCACGGTTTTCGAAAGATTTCCTTTCTTTTCACTTGGCAACAGAGGTTTTCTGCATCAACTTCAAATGACTTCCAGCGAGAAAAAAAAATAGCGGCTGTAGTAAATCATTATATCAGTGATTTAGTCAAACTATCTTAACCAAAAAAAAGTAGAAATTCTCATAAGTGATCATTACCAAACGTATCCAATGAGAATTTATTGCTCACTGCGTGTTTATGATCATTTCTTAGATTATATTTTATATTTTATTGCAATACCTTTCGTGGATCTTTCATAGCATCGTAATGTTTGTGTACTTTGCACGATAAGAAGCCGATTTGACAGTTCAATAGGTAGACTTGGCTTCACTCTTGGCGTGACTCATTATACACCGACTCTAGTAAAAATTACAGCTGAACTGTCAAAAAGTTCATCCCATGAACACTTTAGTCGCTATATTCATAGTCTGGCGGATAGAATTTCGATCTATCAAAAAGCGGAACCAATTCAATATATTTTAGACCAACATTTGAAAAGGTTCTATCAAATTTATAAACAAAACGTTTATTATTGTTTCCTCGCCAATTGAACGCAAATTACCGGCATCATCGGATAGGGGATACATTCTCCAACCCAAAGATGGTGTCAGTTTGCGTAGGCGAGCCTTGAGTCACGAGAAAAGGGTTTCCGAAGTTTTGTTCGCAATTGCTGATGTGCTCTTTTCTGTTGTTGGTCATGATTTGCTCGATTGGTTCCGCTATTTGACAGCTCAATTGGTTCCCGAGATTCTATCCACCAGACTATAAATATAGCGACTATAATGAACACTGGGTTCATACGTGGCGTCACGCTGCAGTACACGGCCAATCATACCAACTCAGCGACTGAGATTAATTGACTCAGATAATTTTCTTTCCATACGAAATTTACTCAGATTTGGAATAAACTGCAGTTACTCACAAGCTATGAGTAACTGCAATTTATTCCAAACCTGAGTATATTTCGTATGGAAAGAAAATTCTCTGAGTCAATTAATCTCAGTCGCTGAGTTGGTATGATTGGCCGTGTACCTAACTGGGAACTGACAGGAAGAAAAGTTTCAACACGCTAAAGGCCGGCGCACAATTAGGTACTGCAGCGTGACGTCATGAATGAACTCAATGTTAACCGGCTGAACCTTTTTGACAGTTCAGTGGTACTGTTTACAAGCACTTAGTCGATTTTTAGAAAAAAAATATTCTTAAATTTCCGAATTTCAACTTGAAAATTGTCGAGGAACAGCGCGTAGAAAGCATGTTGCTCATAGACATTGCAGAAGTGTGGTTTACATCTCACTGCAGTCCGAAAAATTATCGAGAAAATCCACGCAAGAAAAAATCGACTAAGTCCACGTAAACAGTACCACTGAACTGTCATCAGATTGAGGTTAACCCCGACGGTGCAAAACCTAATAGATACGTTTTCAGATTTTTTGACAGTTAGCCCATGCATTATCCAAGGTGACTACATGTAGGTGTTATAATGTGTCAAATTCATGATTCAGCCATGTTGTATTTTTGTATGGGACAGCAACCGAGTTTGTTTACAATTTGCTCTAAAACCGCACTTCCCCCCCCCCACGACCTCCTCGTCTATATAGTGACAAAGCTGTATCACCATTTATATACCCACCATGGCATTATCTGTCAACAACCCCGAAAACGTACACGAAGAAAAAATAGTACCCAAAATTTGAGTTCTTTTTACTTAATATTGAGTTTAGCTTCTCACTTACTCTCTTTATTGTTGTCAAAAAAGGAACAAGAGATTCGACCCAACAGTATAGTTCAGCCCAATAAGTTACTTTTGAGTAAATTGCATATTCTCAAATTTACATAAATTAAACTTAATTTGGGGTAGAATATACTTAAGAGTAGGTAATTTTTTTGCTGGTATTAAATGGAAACTACTATGCGTGATTTACTCAAATTTGGGTTATTGGGCTGAACCCCGGAATAGAGGGAAAAGTACTTAATTTTAGGAGGGAAAAGTACGTACTATACAGAAATTCAAAACAAAAAAATTTATCTGCGGATTTGAACAGTTTTTGACCTGTATCATACTACCGGAAGGAATGCCGTGCCAAACCGATTTCCTACTCAATTAATCAATCTTTGATGTAAAATTCGCTAATAAACACGAGGCGCATTTCTTATAGCAAACATGCCATAACAAAATGGGCATGGTTCATTTAAGTAAACAAACTTTAACACTTCTTCCGACTGTGGCACCTATGTATAAGCCGTCTCGATGCGCGATGCAAGTAGATGCGGGGTGTAAGGGTGTTTCGAGCAAAACAAACAGTCCAGCCTTTCGACCAGTTCAAACCTGTTTGAATAATCATTATCTTATGACACATTCTACATGACAAGTTCTACAAGAGTAAACCATAGTTTTCAAAACCGTCATAAAACCGGAACTGTTACTTGTGCTGCAACCATGCTTGGCATGCACACCAACTGCTCATTTGTTAATAACTTTTCACTCAGTTATTGAAATTGATTTTCTTTAAAGTAATTGGTAGATTAGGATCATAGCACAGACAAAATCATAGTTTACTATAGATATGCAAAGTGTAGGTAAACCATAAAATTTGAATCAACACCAATGAATTTTTTCACTTAAAGTCCGAGATGTGCAGCGAGCATTTCTCACTTGATTTTTACAACGCAAAAACAAATACAGTTTATTACTAAAATTAAAATCCACTTTTTCTTACGTACTTATAACAAGCCTAAACATTATTCTATCTACTGCTTCAAACAGAACTATGTTTTATCAACTGTGTGCAAAGTTATTAGCAAATTAGCAGTACATGACCTGTGTATGCCAAGCATGTCTGCCACCAAGCTTGTAAATGCTCATTTCAGCTAAAATGTTATTTTTCGGATTTATGAAGCTATGAAATATTTTAATGATAATCCTTAGTTACAAGATGCAAGAAAAGCAGGTAAAGTGTGTGTATGACACATAAAACCTGTCAATTTAGCTTTCAGAGGGTCACAATAACAATTAGCTGTAACAATGAGCAACGTGATGAGCGAGTAATCAGTGATCATACAATCGCTAGTTGTGACCTTCTGAAAGTAAAATTGACAAATTTTATAAGTCATACGCAAACTTTACCACCTATTCTTGCTTCTTACAAATAAAAATTACCACTATAGTATCTCATAGTTGCATAATTACGAAAAATAGAATTTTAGCTGTAATGAGCAATTGCAAGCCTGTTTGCAATTTAAAAAATAAAAAGAAAGGTAACCCTCTAATTTTATTTCAGATTTTGAAAGTGCGTTATAACTATAATAATCGTTCTGGTGATTAGTTCTTAAGTAGTGTAGTTTACAATTACAAGAAGTTATAACGTCACTCAACATAGTCGCTCACCAATAATTTTGAACTACTTAAATCATAAATTTTTGATGGAAATTTTACGCACTTTCCAAATCTGCTATAATATTCAGGGGTTACTTTTATTCATACAAACGTAGATCCATCCTGGTAGAATGTGTCTTATTGATTGCAAATATTCAACATCTTCAAAACAACACTCTTCACTTCCTTCCTCTTCACGTTCCCTTTGCTAGTCAATGGCAGTTGGTCTACGAAGTGCACTCCTCCCCGCAGCTTCATGTGATCGCGTACATTCTTAGCCACATATTCTGCTATCTCCTCCCCGGACACGGCAGATCCCGCCGCCTTAACCACCACAGCAGTCGGCAGCTCAGCACTTCTGTTCTCCACCGGTACGCCCACCACGCACACCTGCTCGACTCCATCGACTCGTGAAATAAGCTCTTCCAACTGTGTCGGAGACACGGCATCGATGTACTTGAAAATTTCACTTTTCCGATCAACCAGGTACAAATATCCCTCTTCGTCAAAGTATCCTACATCACCGGAGCGGAACCAACCGTCCGAATCCAGCACTGCTTCGGTAGCCTCTGGTTGCTGGAAGTAGCCCTGGAGAATTTTCCCAATCAAGTGACGTTTCCAATCAAACAGAACACAACTCACCGCAAATGGAATCAACCGCTTCACCAGCAGTTCCCCATGTTCTCCTATTCCGAGAGAGTTTCCCTCGTCGTCAACGATCCGTATTTGTATGTTTGGAGACACCGTCCCGGTTGCACCGAGTTTTCTTTTGATCATATCCGTTGCAATTAGACCGCATTCTGTCGAAGCATAGATCGTGTAGGATTTTCCATTTGGTAGAATGGCATCCACCGCATCCCGGACGCCATCCGACACGTAATATCCACCGATTCCCCAAAGCACCATGGACGAAAGATCTGCACTTTTAGCGCGTGGATGATTGGCCGAGGCACTGGCGTAGATTGGTGGTCCGTTGATGGCATTGATTTTGTACTTTTCCACCAAATCGAAAATGAGATTCTCCGAGAAAGGTTTTCGGGTAAAAACCACCACGCTGTCGTAGAACAGCGCTATATCGTAGGTGTAGGCAACGCTAATCCAGTGGATCGAACCCGTTGCCAAAATCTTTATATTGGTTATATTTCTGGAATGAATTTGATTTAATAAGGGGGTTCCATCCGAAGATGAATTTATGAGAAATTACTCTGGAACAAATGGTGACGTTCTGTTGGCATGAGACAGGCAGATTCCTTTCGGAGGTCCAGTTGTGCCGGATGAGCAGAATATGCTCCAAATTGATTTACTTGAATCTTCTACGGTTGTTGGTCTGAAAACGTGAAATGCATCTTGGTTAAATAAATTCTTGATTTTGGTCAGCCACTTGAACTCACTTGAAGTCTTTTTCGATTCCGGTTTCGGTCAACAGTTCCTTAACCGACCGCACTCCGTCCACCGCATCATCCATAATAAAAATCTTCACATCTTCACCGAGCGCCTTCCGCGCAGCCTCCCTCACCGTTTCGTAGTTCCAAGCATCGCAGAACATCAACCTGGACCGTGTCTGTCGCATCATGTGAGCCATCTCGTCCTCGGTGTAATTTGGAAAGAGTGCATTATAAGGCACTGCCAAACACTGGAGTGCCACTACCAGCGGAATTAAATTCTCATTACCTAGCGCCGCGATCGTCACTATCTCTACGTTCTTCCCCCCGCAGCCATAATCTTTTCTCAGATGTTGCGCAATCCGGACGGCCCGGAGACGAAGTTCGCCTCTGGTCAATACCTTCCCGCTGTCGCCATCGATCTGAACAGGTTTCTCCGGCCCGCGATCCAGTAGTTCCAACACAACATCGCCGGCACTACGACGTGGATCGAACAGCGGATCGATCTGAGGTCCACTCCACACGCGACGATCCGAATCGTACGAAGTCATTGCAAGCACTAAACGAACAGGTTTCTTGCACTACTCTGAGAGGGAGCTTAAAATAGGCAATTCAATTCGATGATTGATTTTTCTTCATTGACTACTACGTCCCAACTGAATCATTGCACCTACCTTCATCTTTCTTTGCGTGCTTCAATAAGGGACGAATGACTACTTGGTAAAAGTCCCCAACAAAATACAAAACAGCGGCAGGTGTTAAATTGAATTTGTGTATAGAGCGACTTACAACTAATATGGACCAACAGGTCTGTGCCATAAAAAGGGAGAGTGACTTACAAAATGCTACTCTATGGTAACAGGGAGTAAGAGCGATCGGGAATCGAATCCGGCACCTCTAGCATACTTTGCTTTGTAGCTGCGCTCTTACTAAGTGAGCTTAAAGAGGGCCCAAATAAACTACACGTAACGTGGGGTAATTGGCCGGCAAGTGACAATTGCCTGGTCAGTTTGGGGAACACTCGTTAGATAATGCTTTATCTCTCGATAACGGTGGAGATGCTGAATCATGTTGTGTGTAGATTGTCAGAGTGGAAATTTTTGAAATTTTAATAAAAAATTGGGTGTTGATTTTGCTCAAATTGTTTTAAGTAGGTATGGAAAACCAAATTTGTTGGGAAACCAAATTTTTTTTTTTTTATTAATTACTTTATTTGTACAGGCTCAATTGAATAAACTTTACAGAGCCAAGTTATCATTTTCTTTATACATTATAAATGTTTTAAATCTAAAATTAAAGGATTGGAACCGATTACTCGCGGTCTTCTCGAGGTTAGTGGATGACAATTGTTTGGATCGGGAGAGGGAAAAGGAGATTTGGAATATGATTTGTGATTCAAAAATGTCACTATTTCTAAAACATATACTTAATCCTATCGACGTTATATCAACTCTGTAATTATACAATTATTACAGAAACAAATCTACAAAAAAAATTCACACACACATACAAAACACAAACTAAACACAAGGTTAATCAAACTTACAATCTATGGTTAATATTCTTCAAGAAAACATATATGAGTTGCATAAACTCCAGATCGCGTCTAGCCAAAATATCCCGAACTGGAACATTAGGTTGTCTACCTCGAGCCCGAAGGGAATCGTACAACTCGGATCTGACTCCACGGTGCTCAGCACATGACCAAATAATGTGATCTGCGTCCTGGTAACCTTGTCCACATTCACAGAGATTACTGTCCCCCAGCTCAACACGGAACAAGTGAGCGTTTAACGAGTAGTGATTGGACATGAGGCGAGACATCATACGAATGAAGTCTCGACCCACATCCAACCCCTTGAACCAAGGACACTTCGACACCTTAGGGATGATTGAATATAACCATCGTCCCAAACTCCCTTCACTCCATTTATTTTGCCAGCTGGCGAGTGACTGTTGACGATAAATGAAGAAAAATTCGTCGTAGGCGATTTGTCGATCGTAAATATCGCCTTCCATAGCGCCCACCTTTGCAAGCGAGTCCGCCTTCTCATTGCCCGGAATCGAGCAATGAGATGGGACCCATGCAAAGGTGATGACAAAAGATCTTAAAGATAAAGCACTTAGAAGCTCTCGTATTTTCATGAGAAAATACGAGGAGTGCTTTACCGGCCTCATGGAGCGAATAGCCTCGACAGAACTGAGACTATCCGTAAAAATAAAATAATGATCTGGTGCAAGTGAGGCGATCGTTTCTAGCGTATAATGTATTGCCGCCAGTTCCGCAACATATACGGAACAAGGAGCATAAAGCATTCGAGAGGCGCTATGAAATTCGTTATAAATACCAAAACCAGCGGACGCCTCTATTAGTGATCCATCTGTGAAGAACGATCTTGCGGAATCAACTTGGTCAAACTTTGCAGCGAAAATTGACGGAGCAATCATGGAACGATGATGCTCTGGGATTCCGCGAATCTCTTGCGTCATTGATAAATCAAAATGAACAGAACTGTCGAAGTCGGAGAAGCAAACACGATAGGGATTATGCTGCGAAGGGCTGACATCCTGTGTTATGTACACGTAGTACAATGACATAAAACGAGTTTGAGGGTTTAGCTCAAGAAGCTTCTCAAAGTTTGCAATCACCAGGGTTCATAATTTCACAACGGGTGAGGAGCCTGAGGGATAATTCCGAAAACCGATCAGAGAGTGGCAACATGCCCGCTAACACTTCGAGACTCATCGTATGAGTCGAGTGCATGCATCCTAACGCGATACGAAGACAGCGATACTGGATCCGTTCCAGTTTGATGATGTGCGTTTTAGCCGCCGACTGGAAACAAAAACTACCGTATTCTAAAACCGATAAAATCGTTGTCCGGTACAACGTTAGAAGATCTTGCGGATGGGCTCCCCACCACGTTCCGGTAATTGTTCGGAGAAAATTGATCCTTTGTTGGCATTTCCGCTTCAGATACTCAATGTGGGATCTCCAGGTGCATTTTGAATCAAACCAGACCCCAAGATATTTGAAAGACATGGAATGTCAAGGCTTACCCAAAAGTTGAAGCTTCGGTTGTGCTGGGCTATGCTTCCTAGAAAAAACGACCAACTCAGTTTTCTCCGTGGAGAATTCGATACCTAGCTGGATAGCCCAAGTAGACAAATTGTCTAAGGTATCCTGTAAGGGTCCTTGCAGGTCGGCCTCTCTGGGCCCTGTCATAGACACTACTCCGTCATCTGCAAGTTGTCTCAACGTGCAGTTGTCACTCAGACAATTGTCAATTTCTCTGACGTAGAATTTATACAGAAGGGGGCTTAAACATGAGCCTTGGGGGAGACCCATGTAGCTAAATCGAAAAGCTGTAGAGTTTCCATGAGAAAAGCTCATATGTTTTTCTGACAGCAAATTGTACAAAAAATTATTCATTAATGAAGACAATCCACAAGCGTGGAGTTTCTCTGAAAGAACTTCAACGGATACTGAATCAAAAGCCCCCTTGATATCCAAGAACACAGAAGCCATTTGCTCTTTCTTAGCAAAAGCCAACTGAATTTCCGAGGAAAGCAACGCGAGACAGTCGTTCGTTCCCTTGCCCCTACGGAATCCAAATTGAGTATCTGAGAGTAGGTGGTTCGTCTCAACCCATTTGTCCAAGCGAAAAAGGATCATTTTCTCCAAAAATTTTCGAATGCACGATAACATCGCGATGGGACGATACGAGTTATGATCTGACGCGGGTTTTCCAGGCTTTTTAATGGCTATAACTCTCACTTGCCTCCAATCATCCGGAACAATATTGAGCTCCAGGAACTGACAAAACAAGTTCAACATGCGCCTCTTAGCGACGTCTGGGAGGTTCTTCAACAAGTTGAACTTGATTCTGTCAGCCCCCGGAGCCGAATTGCCACACGAAAGGAGCGCGAGTGAGAGTTCCAGCATTGAAAAAGGCTGGCTGATCTCGTCTACCGAATTCGTCGTTTCGCGAGGAATCATCTGTGCCGGCACGGAATCAGGACATACTTTTCGCGCGAACTTGAGAATCCAACGATCTGAGTACTCCTCGCTCTCGTTGTTTGAAGACCGGTTACGCATCCTTCGCGCCGCATTCCAAAGCGTATTCATCGACGTTTCGCGCGATAATCCGTCCACGAATTGCCGCGAGTATCCGCGTTTCTTGGCTTTGATGAGACTCTTGAGTTCATGTTCAAGAGCCGAGTACGCTTCGAAATGTACGGGTGTTCCACGTTTCCGGAAAAGCTTAAACGCGTCGGACTTTTTACGATAAACCTCAGTGCATTGCTGGTCCCACCAAGGGGAAGGAGGTTTCCTACGGAAAGACGTTCCTGGAACCGGCCGAGTTTGAGCTTGAAGCGCGCTGTCCAAGATCAGATTGGAGAGGAAGTTATATTCCTCCAACGGTGGAAGCCCTTCTACCGACGTTAGGGCATCTTCTATCACATTCTTGAACGTTGTCCAATCGATATTACGGGTAAGATCGTACGCGACGTTAACGGGTTCCGATGGATTGAACCCACTGGCAACTGAAATTTTGATCGGCAAGTGATCACTACCGTGGGGATTCTTGGATCACATTCCACGTGCAATCCAACGATAATGAGTTAGAGCAAAGTGTGAGGTCTAATCTACTTCCATTCGAGGATGGGCCAGCCAAACGTGTTACTTCTCCATTGTTAAGAATTGTCATATTAAAGCTGTCGCAGAGGTCATATATCAAAGTAGAACGGTTGTCATCATACAGTTCCCCCCAGCCTGTACCGTGGGAATTCAAATCTCCCATAATCAACCGTGGAGCAGGAAGTACCGAACAGATATCTGAAAGTTGTTTGCGATTAACAACGGCTCTAGGAGGAATATAAACAGAAGCAATACAAAGGCTCTTACCTTTAATAATAGCCTGACATGCAACAACTTCAATACCTGTAAATTGTGGAAGATTCACTCTATAGAAGGAATGGCACTTTTTGATCCCCAAAAGTACTCCTCCTCCACGCGAATCCTCACGATCCAGTCGAATAATGTTAAAATCATAAAAAGGAAGATCTATATCTGAAGAGAGCCAAGTTTCACAAAGAGCAAATGCATCACAATCATTATTGTGAACTAAAAACTTTTTTTTTTTTATTTATTAATTTATTTGATAAGGCTCAACCGAATTAACTTTACAGAGCCGAGGATTCTTGGTCACTATACAATACATCTTAAAACTATAGTCAAAAAGTACAACGCAATAAACACTTTATCTTCCGCTATCCAAAAAGCCTCCTCCATCAGAACTGGAGCCGCTTCTAGTATTTTCATTGTATGGCAAATTGTTGTACGCCAACGAGGGTCAGAGCGCGTCCATTGCAGCAATGGACGCAAAACGTGGTCAGTACTCACACACTCATCACGAAACGGTTGATTTCCAAAGTCGACGACGCATCGACCGAAAGAACTGATGATGAAGAACAATGAGGAGGACCACACAATGGTTGCTGCCGAGAAAACAGACGATCGCGTAGCACACATCGAGAGTGGCCTGCTTTTG